TATGAAGCATCGCATCGCTTATTGTTATACCACAGACCCTTCAATCACCTTCATGCCTTCAGAATCCCCGCGTGGTAGGCGCCGGTACTGTCGATGCCTCCAGAGTCCCCACTGTCTGAACACAATAGCGCCGAGGACTCTTCCCCACTCACTGATCAAAGTATGTCTTTGAATGTTTCTGTAGTGTAGCTGCGACTGACAGCGCGCAACAGATGTCGCCATTTTGTACCAAATCGTCAAGTCCGCCGAGCAACATCCTGATGTTGGGATCCGCCCTTTCCGCGCCATGTACGCCGCGTACGAGTCAATCCTCCCTCAGAATGGACTTCATCCGGATCATGATCAGACATACTTGCCCTACTTGTATAGATTGGGAGGGAAGAGAGGAGAAGGGCAGTCTCTGTACGAGAGCTTCGAGGGTCTGCTTGCGGAGCTTGGATTCCAGATCGAGTTTATCGCGGATGGGGAAGGGGTACAAGAGATCACAAAGGACCTCGGCGCGGAATATGGAGATGAGAATGGAGCCAATGGACAAATGGGAGACACTGGTGGATCTATGCGAAGGTCAAGACGAGCCTCTTTTAACTCTATGTACGATGCGGAGAACGAGAGCACCAGAGCGATTCGACAACGAGATACATCGCGCGCTTCTATGTCTCGCCTTGAAACCAGTCAATCGGCAGTACTGGACACTCGACCGTCGACGCGAGCAACTACAAGGAGGACAGAAAAGACAGGCGCCAATGCTCTGTCCTCGAGACCGCCAGCCGTCCAGAACACGAGGGGTAGGCTGACAGCCGAGGAATTTGCCAAGGGTTCTCCGCACTCCCAGCACGCAGCTGGGTCTAGCCAGGGCGACCGTCAAAGAAACATTCAACCGAAATCCATCGCTTCAGGAAAGAATGACCAAGCATATGCGGCCTCCCCAGTAGAAGACCTTTCTATAAGCGCCACCGACCGTGAAAACAACACCACCCAAGCGTCGGCAACTCCTCACAACCTTCAGCCTCCATATCTACTGAGTGAAAATGAGCGTTTCTATAACCCTTCGAAGACTCAACTGCTTCGAGACGCGCACGATTTTCACTATTACCGAATTCGATCCATTGCCCGTGATGCTATTGATAAGTGGTGCTTCGCAGCGTCTCAGGCGAGAGACGGACACGAACATATGGAACGACTTGCAGCCGCTCATGACATGGAGATCCTTCTGCGCCAGGCTTTTGAGCATTGGCGTCTTAGATTGCATGCGAAAAAACAAGCTGCTGAAACCGAGCGCTTCTTTAACCGCCTGGAACGGAGAGCGACCAAAGCTCGAGATCTATTCCTGATAGCAAAAGCATTCAGTCATTGGGCGCAGTGCACACAGGAGGAAGTCTTGCGAACATCTGATGCTCGACAGCACGTTCTTAGTACGAAATACTTTCGGGCATGGCGTGAGATCACTGTCATCAATCAACTAAAGATGCGCCGCCAAGGATTACGAAAGTTCTTTAGGGTCTGGAAGCAGCGATATGTTCAAACCTTCACGGACGACATCAAAGCCGATCTAAAGCGCCAGGAAGATCTTTCGAGGAGTGCCTATTGGCACTGGTTCTGGGTCTTCTGTGAGAGACGAGCCCCGGAATGGAGGGCTGGGAGGCTCAAGCGGAAATATGTGTTCCAATGGATAGCCACCTTCAGAAGCGATGTTCGACTGAATCAGCAGGTCGTATTGAAGTCAATCAACTCGTCAAGGAAGAATATTTTCTTACCATGGCTTGAGAAAGCACGGATTATCATTTCCGCCCGGCGAGAAGCAGACGCCTTCAATGAGCAAAAGCAAGGTGCCCATACTCTGCAGGCTTGGAGAATAGCCGCGGAATATGCCCCGTTTGCTCGACAAGTATCCAACATGGTTGATTGGAGAGTGGCTGGTGAGACTTTTGCGATCTTTGTTACTAGGTACAGATTCGAGAAGCAAGCTGAGTCCGTCAATCGATTGCGTATCATGAGGACTGCTTGGACACAATGGAACGATCGCTTGCGCTGGCAAAGCTTATCTCAACGCATAGATGATCGCTATTTACTCGAATCCCTGTACAAATGGGTTATCGCAGAACGATGTACACTTTTGCAGCGGCTGTCTGAGGAGAGGCTCAAACGAATAATGTTCTACAAATTGAAGCAACACTGCACACTGCGTCAAGCAGAGCGCGAGAGTGGCCGCCAGATTGTCGAGGAGACACGAAGGAAAAGCTGCCTGCGGTCGCTCGTTCGCCATTGGTACTCGCAGCTGGGCTCTAATGGCCAGGATGAGCGCGTCGCCTTTGAGTTTCGTGCGCCCAAAGTAGCTCAAGATATTTTACAGTTGTGGAGTCGAGCCTCAGAGCATGTGCGGGATCTGAACAGCATGGCTAAACACGCCAACTTCTATTTTTTCACAAGGAAATGCTACAAGCGTTGGCAATCTGCAAACACTAATTCTAAGCGGCAAAAGCGTCGAAACGCCTATGTCCAAGTCAGACGAAGATCAAAGATGAACCTTGCTGCAGGGTTGTTTCGGCAATGGCGTAATGTCTCTGCGCTGGAACAGGATAAGCAGCAGCAAGCCGGCCTTTTGGACCGAAATCGCCTGCTGCGAATGGGTACCGAGCTGTTCGATCGTTGGAGAGACCAGTCTGATCTGAGAAGGGACCAAGACCATCAGGCAAACCAATATTACGAGAGGCGACTGCTAGAACGCCAACTCTACACATGGATAGAACGACTCGAGGACCAAGCGAGGCTGGAGGAGACAGCTGCGCTTAATAATGAGATGCGTGTCAAAAACATTGCTTTCGGCTGGTTCAACAAGCTGCGTCTAAAAATCATTGAGCTCAAAGGTCGAGAAGCGAATGCAGAGAATCTAAGGGTCTGGTATGAAAAGCGGCATTGTCGCAACCTATTGAGACATTGGCGCGATCAGACAGCCGGAAAGCTCGATCGTCCACGGCAGGATACGGCCTTCTCATCCAGAATCAAGAGGGCGAGGCCTCAAGCCGAAGCAGATGACCGCGATGGCCCGACAAGACGAGCAGAAGACTGGACGGACTTTGATCTTGGTGACTGGATTCCAGCCCTCGAGGCTCAATCAAACAGCACACCATTGCCGGGATACTTGAGTACACCGTCGAAAAGGGCTGCTCGTGCGAAAGCGTTGGTCCGAGTCTCGACGACTCCTGCAGGTACGCCATTCGAGCATCGCCCTCGCTCTCAGACTGGCTCGACAACACGGACTTCTCGAAGAGGTACTTTTGGGAAGTCTACTACAGCTTTGAAAGGTAGTACTTTTAGGACTATAAATGAAGACTCGCCGAGAACACCATAAACAGAGACGTAAAAGGAAAGGAAGGCGTAAGAAAAGGCATGACTAGTCCTAAGCAGCGTCGGAGTTGAGAGAGCGTCTTGGTAATTATATCTTTGATGATACCCACCGGCGACGGTTCTTGGATAGTAGGGCCTTCAGCGTTCATAGCAATGACTTTTCTTTTATGATTCGGATTACTCGACGTAAGAGAATCGAGCAAAAGTCGTGCATAGAGGGAGAATAAGCGGGCCAAAATTGCCAAAAAATCCAATTTTCACCACGATTCCTGACTCCTGTCCTGCAATCTTTCAATTGTCGCATCTTTCTGGCAGCGCACCTCTTGAGGCTTGAAAACTGTGGGATTGCCTCTATGCATGACCTACTTACCTATATCGATGCTGAATGTTTGCGGTAACGTTGATGCGGAGAACTGGGCATATAGGCGTACGATTCCTGATCACCCCGGGGCGCTAGCCGTTAAACAGATGTTGTAATCTTGGGTTTTCCTATGAAGTCTGGTGAGTATAATACCTAAGGCTTTTCCCGCGCTATGCACCACGGAGTGAGTGGGATATGGGACAACTTGTAAAGTAGTCCGTAGGGAGCGCACGTGAAAATTGATACCGTCAAGTACCATTGGAAAGCTTGCTTTTGTCAGGACCAGCATAGAGGTGTCAGGTAGATGGTATCATATGGGTAAGTGGAAAGGATGATAAGGCTACCGAACTATGTATGTAGGAAGAAGGCATAATATATGTTGCATGTCATTGGTGGTGTATACTTCTCCACGATGGTTGATATGTCTCACCTATGGATAGTATGGTTATTTATGGGGAGCATGATTCCTCATGGAGCGTCTCGCCCATCTCATGGACATCAATCGCATGTACCTTTCCGTGGACCTCGCCGTCGCCCATGGATCCCATGCTGTCGCCACAACAGTCCAGTGCTATTTGAGGCTATATCTACTTGATCTCTTTCGGCCTCTATTTGTGACCGAGTTATTGCTCCCCGGGCTGTATTGTGGCCGAAATGTTTCAGTGACGGAATAACCTCTCTTAGACGATATCATTATAAAAACTCCTCCAGGTATGCTCTAGGCTACGTTCCAGAGCCATAAGCCCGAAAGAGTACGTTCCAGAGCCCCGGCGCAACAATTCGGGGTACGGGTAGGACCCCAGTAAGAAGCCTGTTCTGCCAAAGCCTCTACATTTGTCGCAATACCACAGCCCGGAACAGTACCTCATACCCGGGCAGCGCACCCCCGCACAGAAATTGCCCAAACGACGATACCTCGGGGTTATAAGATTAGGGCATTGGCCCCCATAGAGCAATACTTCTAGCGAGCACGCTCGGGAGGCCATGCACTGAAAGAACATCAGCACCCGATTTCTGAAGTTGCGGAATCCGCTCGGGCTAGCTTAAGCCCCGGGCGCCCTTAGCGTACCCGGAAAATGGAATCTGGCGGGCCGACCTCCCGAATTGCCTATGCAAAACCAGTTTCGAATGGCGGCGGTATAATCTTGCTTGTCTACTTAAATCGCATCAACAGAACCACTAAAATACATGTCTCCAAGGCTTGGACACTTTTCATGTTTTCTATTTCCTAGATTCGTCCAACTCCTGTGATCTCCTGGCCTCGTTTCGATAACTACCAAATCTGAATGCCAAAATGGAGCCCACAATCGTCCCCATCTTAAGCAACGAAAAGGCAATTACCATTGACTACAACCTCTGGGGCTCTTATATTGCCCAAGATCTGCTCAAGAATCTTCCCTCTTCGACTTACGTGCTGATTACAGATACCAACCTTTATGATCTCTATGTGCCTTCCTTTGAAAAAGCCTTCAACGATGTAGCCTCCAGTATCAAGGCGGAAAGCCGTTTATTAACATATACCATCCCGCCTGGGGAGACTTCGAAATCGAGAACAACCAAGGCCGAGGTCGAAGACTGGATGCTGTCTGAGGAGCGGGACCCGCCTTTGGATGTGAGTCCTGTTTTGTGACTGATCATCCAAAATTTCTGATGCATCAAGACTCGCTTCGAACGGGAAATGCTGACTTGTTCAAGACCAAATCAGTGCTTCTCGCTCTAGGCGGAGGGGTCATTGGTGACATGATTGGCTTCGTTGCTGCTACTTTCAAGCGAGGCATCAGATTCGTACAGATACCCACTTCGCTACTTGCTATGGTGGACTCCTCTATAGGCGGTAAAACGGCTATTGATGTACGTACATTTCCGAGTGCTTACTTCCCACTAGCGATGCGATTTGGAAGACCGTTGGAGGGCCTCCTCATCTTCTCGCCTCCTCTTCCCTAGGCTCTGGAAGATTTATCGACTTCAGTGTTGAAAGGGGACGCTGACTCTGGAACAATACTCAGACGCCGGCTGGCAAGAACCTCATCGGTGCTTTCTGGCAGGTATTTCAATCTCTAATCCGCGCACAATGCCTTACCCTGACGCTTGAATTGCTAGCCTTCTAAAATATACATTGACCTCAATTTTCTCAATACCCTGCCCACCCGTGAGTTCATCAATGGGCTGGCCGAAGTCATAAAGGTCTGCTTCTGTCCAGAAACGGTGCATGCGTGTTTTAATTTATGCTAACGACTTCGCAGACCGCGGCCATCTCGACGACGGCGATGTCTAAGACGAATGAGTCCAAGGGTGAGTATGAAACGATGAAGTACAAATTTGAGGCGCTAGAAGCAAATGTCAACGTTCTTATGGCCGCTATCAAAACCAAGCCAGAAGCCAATGATCATAGACTTTCGAGAGTTAGGGAAAAATTGAAGGACATCGTTCTCGGATCAGTCCAAGTGAAGGCGCATGTTGTGTCAGCAGACGAAAGGGAAGGAGGGTTGAGAAACCTCCTAAATTTTGGTCATTCTATCGGTCATGGTATCGAGGGTTTACTCACGCCTGACATCTTACACGGCGAGTGTGTCGCTATTGGTATGGTGTTAGAAGCAGAACTAGCATTGCATCTGGGGGTACTTAGTCGAGAAGCTGTTGCTAGACTCAGGAACTGCCTTGCCAAATATGAACTACCCACGTCATTAAAGGATGCTGTTGTTCGAGAGCGTTCTGGCCACAAACACTGCTCTATGGACCAAATACTTTCGGTGATGGCTGTTGACAAGAAGAACCAGGGAAAGAAAAAGCGCATAGTGCTTCTTCGCGGCATTGGCTTTGTGCACGAGCAACAGGCAACGGTGGTGGCTGATCGAGACATAAGAAATGTGCTATCCTCTAGCGTCAGAATACTGCCATCCATACCCCATGGTGTAAAGGTATCATGTACACCACCAGGTTCTAAGAGCATATCCAACAGAGCGTTGGTCTTGGCAGCGCTTGGCAACGGCGAGTGTCGAATTCGGAATCTACTACATTCAGTCGACACAGAGGTCATGATCGAGGCCTTGAAGATAATGAAGTGTGCCTCCTTCTCGTCGGGTGAAGACAGCAAGGGCAAATATCTCCTGGTTACAGGTAATGGCGGAAATCTCCAAGCAAGCGAAAAGGACCTCTACATCGAGAACGCTGGCACAGCGGCACGCTTCTTGGCAACCGTTGCCCTTCTTGCTAAACCAAATCTGCAATCATACTCCATCCTGACTGGCAACAAGAGGATGAACGAAGGCCGCCCGATCAAAGACCTGGTAGACGCGTTGCGAGCGAATGGATCCAGTATTGAATGCACAGGAAAGGATGGGCACCTACCTCTCAAGATCGAAGCAGCAGAGGGTATGGAAGGTGGTGATATCGTACTGGATGCCAGTTTCTCGTCGCAATATGTCTCATCTATATTGATGGCTGCTCCTTACGCAAAGAAGCCTGTCACTCTTCGTCTCACAGGTGGACCACCGATCTCGCAGCTATATATTGATATGACTACGGCAATGATGAGGAAGTTTGGCGTCGACGTAACAAAATCTACAATAGAAGAGCATGCCTATCACATACCTCAGGCGACTTACCGAAACCCCCCTGACTACGAGGTCGAGAGTGATGCTAGTTCAGCAACCTATCCTCTCGCTCTGGCTGCAATCAACGGTATCACCTGTATCGTGCCAAACGTAGGTTATGGGTCTCTGCAAGGTGATGCCCAGTTCGCTGTCAAGGTCTTGAAACAAATGGGCTGTTCTGTTGATCAGACAGAGTCCTCTACAACTGTCACAGGTCCGCCGAAAGGCACCCTTAAGCCAATACCGTCTATAGACATGGAGACGATGACAGATGCCTTTCTGACGGCCTCGATCCTAGCTGCCGTTGCTCAAGGCAGCACTGGTAAGTCGACGACCAAGATTACCGGCATTAAGAATCAGCACAAAAAGGAGTGCGATCGAATAGAAGCTATGGAGAAAGAATTATCCAAGTTCGGCGTCACTTGCCGTGGATTCGAAGATGGCATTGAGATTGACGGCATAAACCATGCTGAGCTACAAGAGCCAGCTGGTGGCGTTCATTGCTACGACGATCACAGAGTGGCGATGAGCAACAGTGTCTTGGCTACAGTTGCACCCAATGGTGCGATCATCAACGAGAAGGATTGTGTAGGGAAAACCTGGCCCGGATGGTGGGACACAATGCGGCTCTCGTTCAACGTGGAAACGGAAGGTGTGGACGTGGAGAGCGAGTCGAAGGGCAAATCGCTGAATTCAGAAGCTTGCCGCAAGTCAGTATACCTCATTGGCATGAGAGGAGCCGGAAAAACAACCACAGGAAAGTGGGTAGCAGATCTCCTAGATCTGTCTTTTGTTGATCTCGACTCACAGCTAGAATTAGAAGCGAAACAGACGATACCCGAAATTATTGAAGAGTCAGGTTGGGAGGGGTTCCGGGGGCAAGAAACTGCGATTCTCAAAAAAACGATGATAGAAACGCCTTTAGACAACGTTTTTGCTTGCGGAGGCGGCATTGTTGAGACTCCAGAGGCTCGGAAAGTACTCATCGATTATCATAAGTCTGGGGGCCTTGTAATCCTTGTGCAACGCAACATTGCAGATGTGATGGCGTACCTTCAGCTCGACAAATCACGACCCGCATATGTCGATGACATGAAGAGCGTCTGGGAACGTAGGAAAGATTGGTATGTGCAATGCAGTAATTACCAGCACTACAGTCAGAAAGCTCCAACAGATTCGTTAGTTCGGGCTTCGAAAGACCTAGAGCGGTTCGTTTCTACTATCACCGGCAAACGACGCTCTCTAGAAAAGATCAAGACCAAAAATCAGTCCTTCTTTGTTTCCCTCACCGTGCCTGATATCGCCGCTGCATTAGACTTCTTACCGGAGGTTGTCGTCGGTTCAGATGCTGTGGAGCTGAGGGTAGATCTCTTAGAAGATCCACAGAACCCTAACGCTCCTCCTTCGGTTGAGTATGTGGCAAACCAGCTAGCAATACTACACGGGTCAACGTCTCTGCCAGTGATATTCACCATCCGCACGCAAAGTCAAGGGGGCAAATTCCCGGATAACGCTCCGCTTGAATTGGTCGCTTCCATATACCAATTGGCGCTTCGGATGGGAGTAGGATATCTGGATCTCGAAATCCAGTTCCCTGACCCTTTGCTTCGCCAGATATCTCGGGCTAAAGGCCATACCAAGATCATCGCTTCACATCATGATCCCAAGAATACCCTGTCTTGGGAGAAGGGCTCGTGGATGCAGTTCTACAATAAGGCCCTCCTGTACGGCGATATTGTCAAGCTTGTTGGGATTGCGACCTCACAAGAAGACAATTTACAGCTTCTACAATTCAAGAAATCGGCTGAATCCTTAAATGAGACGCCCTTGATTGCAATCAACATGGGTCTTGATGGCCAGTTGAGCCGCATACAGAACGGCTTCTTGACGCCAGTGTCTCACCCTGCATTACCATTCAAAGCAGCACCGGGTCAGCTTTCGGCGGCAGAAATCCGGTCGGCGCTGGTATTGCACGGGGTAATCAAGCCAATGCAGTACTACCTCTTCGGATCACCCATTGCCCAATCGAAGTCTCCAGCAATGCACAACACTCTCTTCAAAGCCACCGGTCTACCACACACCTACTCTCTCTTCGAGACCTCCGAAGCCGCAGATCTAGAAAAGATTCTGAAATCCGACTCCTTTGGCGGCGCCTCCGTCACCATTCCTCTCAAGCTCGACATTGTGCCCTACCTCGACTCCGTCTCCGATGACGCCAAGCTCATCGGCGCCGTTAATACCATCATCGCTGACCCCTCCATCCCCTCCACCAAGAACCAGGGCGGATACCACCTCACAGGCCGCAACACAGACTGGCAAGGCATGACACGCGTGCTTTTGGCCGCCGGCGCTCAGCCCAGCGGAGAGCAAAGCGGTCTCGTAATCGGTGGCGGAGGGACAGCCCGAGCGGCGATCTATGCCCTACACGCCATGGGTTACACCCCCGTCTACGTCCTCGGCCGCTCCGAGTCGAAGATCCGGGAGCTCGTGTCCAGCTTCCCCCAAGATTACAACCTCGAGATCCTCCACCCCTCCGAACAGCCGCTGAAGATGACCAGCGTCCCCACCACGGCCATCAGCACCATACCCGCCGACACACCCCTGGACCCCGACATCCGGAGATTCCTCGGCCACTGGATCCTGGGCGTGAACGACGGGGAGTTGAGGGTGAAGAGTGACGCGTCGCAGGGCGGGAGGGTGACGGTGAAGCAGGTCCTGCTGGAGATGGCTTATAAGCCAGCGGTGACGGATATGATGCGGATGGCGGGTGGAGGGGGGTGGACGACCGTTCCGGGGTTGGAGGTGTTGGCCGGACAGGGTTGGTATCAGTTTGAGGCGTGGACGGGGATCGAGCCGCTTTATGAGATGTTGAGGGAGGCTTGCGGGCTGGAGAAATTGGCCTAGGGGGGGGAGGATAGGACAGATTGGGACATAAGACTTGGGAACGTTCGCGGACTGCTAGCATTTTGATGCTATTCAACAATAACGGTTCGAAAAAAGATTGTCAATAGCCCGCCCATATGTTCATTCAGGACAAAATGTATCTGCTGTCTAGATAATACAGGCGCAACGCCAATGGTTCCGCTCAAAGGTCACGTCCGCTGGCCATACTTATCTGCCGATTTATTAGCTGCAAAAGCAGAAACATCGGCTCATTTGAAGAGCCTGACCTGCTCGGCACTTCACATCCCTGTCCATCTACACTAAAATGAACCCGCAATTGTGGCAGGCGGCCCTTCATTCCAACCGTCTTTCATGAACTATCCCATTGTCCCATCGTCTCCTCACACCACACTGCTCTTCCTCTCCCGCATCTTCAACGTCGCCTCTTCAATCTTGTTCCGTCTCCACGAGCACTCGTCGAAGAAATCGCAAGTGCGACACTTGTAAGCTTCCTCGACACAAACACCCTCCGCGGCCCGCTCGCCTTTCCACCATCTCATTTCACTGTCCAGGTATTTCTGCATAACCGTGTCGTCGTAGAGGAATGTTTTATTGCCCAGAATCGCTCCGTCGGTTGGGGTACGGTATTCGGCCTTCAGCACGTTACCAATACTCTTCGCACCTGCGGAGAAGGTGCGTGCGAACTCTTGGATCATGAGCGTCCAAAGTTTCCGCAGGGAGTTGTGGGCGAGGAGGACGGTCATGCTGTCTTGCGATGATGGCAGCGATGGACCTTCTGGCATGTGCAACGGACTATCCATCGCTAGGAAATCATCTTCATTGAGGCTGCCGATTTGGGCTATGAAGCCGTCACTGAATAAGTCATCTGCTTTCAGCTCGTAGCGGTCGAATACTACGTCGGCGTTCACCTTGTTTGTAGCAAGGTCGGAGAGAATTCGGTGGTAGAGCATAAGTTGCATCAAGGTTGGGCGGAATGAGGGAGCTTTTGGTATGCTTTTTGTGCCACGGGTTTTGACATCTGTAATGTAAATCTTTGGCGTCTTTTCGGGCAGGGCGGAGCGGAGCTTGTTGAGCACACCAGTGCCATTGCCTTCGAGGGTCGACGGACCGAGGAAGTCGGTGATAGTCCTTTGGTCAGCTGCGGGCATTTTCTTTGCAACCTCGCGGTTTTCTTCAGCTTCTTCAAGTTCGGGCTCTGGGCAGATATAAGAGAGCTCGTCAATCACGCCGTTAACAACCAGACCGTCTAATACGCCCCAGATCTCGAGCTCCCGCGTCATGCCTGTTTTCCGTAGAGTCTTCAGCCCTTGAATCACATTCCATATCCGCAGTCCCCAGACTTCTTCTTTGGACGTGATATCCACCGCCACAGTCTCATGTACCTGATCCTCCAATACCTTGTGTACCGCAGACCCTTGTTTCATAGCTGGAGTCCTTCTCTTCTTCCCATGCTTCGTGAGAGTGAACCAGTATTGCAGCTCGCACCACGATGGCGAGATGAGGTCTGTGACGCTCAGAGCCTTTTTTGGCTTCGTTCGGAAGCGTTCGAGGGGGGACCTCAGATCCGGCACTTCAGGTTTAGGGGAGAGAGGAGCTTCGATGGAAACGGAGCTTTCTCTTTTGAGTCGACTCTCACGGCTTTCGACTATGCGCTTCAGTGTCAGTCAGTACTCGTTTGGCTAGGCCAGCTGGCACGGAACGTACTATCCGCTGAGCGGTTGTTGTCGCCGTCGAGCTGTATCGTGAACCTCGTCTTGGACAATGGTAGTGGGGGATATTCTTGGGATTGCTGGCCCTGGCGACGAAGTATCCTTGCACCCCGAGGACCTTCTTCATCCTTGAGGTCTTTAAGTAGAAAATCCGGGTCTCTATTTGGACCGTCGTCTTGCTCTGGGGTCTGGTGGAGAAGCCCGTTTAAGATCTCCTCCTCGTCGGGAGTGAATTCTGAGCCATAGTCACTGAACCCATCCTGCTGGTCCGCGACGGGCATGTCCATCGCTTCGGCCTCATTGCTGTTGAGGTGGGGGTTTGGTTCGCACGTTCAATGTTGCCAGCAGCATCTTGGCCTCTATATGATACGCTGTGCGGGCCGAAGGGGTTTTTTTTAGCCCTGAGGCTAAACCGAATGGGAATGGACGTCAACGAACGAATATAGCTACATTCACCGAGTCACGAGGGAAAGGAGCATGTCATTCGATTCTATTCTAGGGCCTAGTCCCCTTCAAAATGACGAGCCAATGGTGCCTGCCATAGAAAGCACTTCGATCTGGGCAAAAGTACCTCCCAAAGTCCACATCCTGAGGTGCAAGCCACGAATTTCAAGCAGTCCACGTGGCATGCTCCCTTCGTTCTCATAGCAAGGTTTCCTCGTATAGCGGCGCCTTGCTCTTTCCTACGGATACAGATCGGTGGCTTTTCTCCTGCGATTCGATTTGAAGACTTGTTTCTTTGCGGATGATGCTTCCACTGGTGGGAAGAGGCGCATCAAGCGCAGTATTTTGAAAGCCTTTCAGCTCTCTTTCACATGCAACTCTTTCCTCTTCTTCTCTTCATTTGCGGCTCTTTGGTTGAGCCACGACAGATAACTTTGCCAGCCCACGGCCACGATCCCTGCGAACAGGGCTCTGTATTGTGGTAAAATATATGTAAAGTTGAAAGCCGTGACCGCTGGCCAAAGTTTCCAGCTGTTTACATAACTTGTTGGCACTGTATTCTTGATCCTATCCCATGCGTCGGAAAAACCATCCCCGGAGAGCAGGGATTGCATGCCGAAGAAGTAGCTGTTGAAAACGGGAGTGAATACAATTTGGTTGACGACGACTTTGGTGGCGAGCGAGAGGAGTTTGGAGGGATAATTGAATATAGTGCCTAGATACACAAACCTATATAGCGACGGTCAGCTTTGCGTAATTCCACGTTGACATTGTTTGAGGTTGGTGAAAAACTACCATAGATAGGAGGGGATCGAACTGATGCCTCCAATGGTCAAATGTCGCAACGTCCTGAACGGATTGTATTGCTCTCCATCAATGTACTGTGCTGTCAGGTCCCCACATAGGTACACCACAAGTGAGGTTCCGAACTGAGTAGTCCAAGGTCTTTGCCTTTGGGCCCGAGCATATCCAGCGAAAACTTCTGACAAGGGGCCAAGTCGTTCCCATAGAGGCCGTGGCGATATTTCTGCCGGTGTGGCTATAGATGACCCTTCTCTTTTGCTGACAGTGGAAGACTTCTCAGCTGGCTTGTCTGCAGCTGTGGTTTTCTGCCGTTTTGTAGGGGAGAAAATCTGCTGGTGTCGCTGAGCTGACCGCCGAAGGACGAGGCGCACTGAGCCGTGGAGGAGTATAGCCATTTTATTGTCGCAGTTTTCTGGTTGTGATGAGCTAGAAAATGTCGTATCCTGGATGCTGGAAGAGATCAAGCTTGAATCCCGGATTCCTTTGTCCGAGACATTTTCATCCACCAGCCTTTGTCATCTTTGTCATCCTGCTCGGCTTGCGACCGTGTTCAGTATCACCGGCCAAGGTCAGGATACCCATGTGGGAACGATTGGAATGGGAATGCTCATGACTTTCCTCAGATTGCGGAGGTTGTGCGCATGTAAGAGGTCATTTACGAGCGTCACCGTGCATTTACTACCTCAGGCGCTAATACCAACCAAATATCTCGGATTCTGGGTACGCAACCACTATCTACTACCTCCTAGAATGGGTATCTCCCATTCTCATCATCCTCTGTCGTGATTCCTTCCTCAAGCTGCCGCTTGTGCTCTCCATCGAGATATTCCAGCAGGACATCCTGATACCTCTCCTTCCCCTTGTACTTCGAGACGTCGTTCCCCCAGCTTCTTACAGCACTCGCCAATCTCCCAGGAACACCAGGCTCCTTGGCAATCGCAGTGACAGGCTCGAAATAGGTTCTAATGGTAAACACAACGCCTCCACTACGCGGCAAACGTCGCAGAGACTGCCTCTCGCTTCTAAAATGGTGATGTTCGATCGTTTTATCTTTTGCCGCAGTACTCCATCCTGCAGCTTGTAAACCATCCCCATCCTCGGGGCCTATGCTATGGCTCCAGGCCAAGTCATCATCAACCTGCATGAAGTAGTTGTTCCGTAATACAGGATTATCGCATTTAATTCTTCGAAAGAAATTAGTCATGCCCTTCTCGAGCTTGGTCTTGAAGCCAGGAACGTCGCCGCTCGTGTGAATCTCGGACAGAGGCATGCCGAATTTGTCACTGAGGCGCCTAGATCATACATTAGCAGAAATCTTGTCACGGGCCGGCCAGTCAGGCCACGAACCAAAACCCAGCAAGCAGGATAGCTCCTGCCAGAAGATAGTATTGCCCGTCCGGCTTCTCGAACATTATAGCTAGATCATCTTGTACGAGTCGGGCACACATTGCCATAGGGTCCTCTGGGAGGGGGCGTTGGAGAATGTTGAACGTTTCACCCGTGGCGAGGTTGTCCAGACCCACGACAGTTTTGCGATAGAGGGTGGGGTATCGCTGAGGGAGGTAATCGCAGCTATGGAAGCAAGGTCAGTTACCAGGCCCATGATACAGGGATTTTGATGCACTTACAGTTCTTCAAGGAGCTCCACAGCACCATCATATGCCTCAGGCGCTGTACGACAGCATTTCTCGCCTCTTTCTTCTATCCTCCGTGCTTTGTCGGCATGGAATTTCAGGTAATGATTATCCAGCTCGATCCAATCATCCCACTGCATCGTCCGCAGACCCATAGTGATGTGGTACGGGCCATGCCTGAATGGTCTATATGGCAGCGGGTCTGTCTTGTGTACGTCCCAGGCCGGGTAGGGAGTTGCTTCCGGTCGTTTGAATTCAACGGGTGTCCATACTCCAGGAGACCTTTCAGGAGCCTTAGATATGTTTCCTTTCCTGGAAATGGGTTTCTCGAGATCCGGTGACTTTTCCCTCCGTGCAATTGACTTGTTGCGCTTGATCAACTTGGTGGCCAGAAGCCAAGCGAATAAGACGGCAACAATTCCAGCATACAAGAACTGTCTTGCATTCGTAGCGATCAACGTGGTGAATCCGTCAGCAGGCCTTTCCGCAGTCCAAAGAAGAAATTCTGATGCCATTGGAGCACAAGACCTGCGCGGAATGCTAATGAATCGTACCGGAAGGTGCTGTCTTGATATCCAAAGGGATCAGCGGAATTTCCAACTTCTCGAACAGAATGAAAAGAATCATTCTAATTGAATAGAACGATTAGTTGTCGAACTTGAGATTACGGGCAAACATTGGAATGATTCAAACGTGGGGTAGACAGACGAGCTAAGTGTGAGAGCAAAACGCGTGGAAAGATTAGGCGGACAGATATCTTGCAGCTGGAAATCCGCACCGTTTTTGGTTAGTAGCTATTGATTCGTGTCCCAAAGATCAATTTTCCACAGTCAAACTTGATTGCTCTTCGCTCGGGGACCTCTTTGCCCAAATGGTCATAGAGACAATAGTATTGCGCAACGTAATTGGGCAATCAGGCCAGGGACTCAAGCAGTGGCCGACTTTCGCCGCAACAGACAATACCTGCCCCATTGTCTTCGAAACTTCGCTGGAATGAGTTCCCAGTCAGGTAACCAGAGGATGCGACCCAATGGATGGGTTTGCGAGGAGTCGAGAAACTTATGGCACAGTATTTGCTCCCAGTTCTTCCCATCGACGATATAATTCGGCTCCAGCATCGAATACTCGGATCCAGGGAAGGTCGAATCCACCATGAACGAGCAATGACCAACATCGACCTACAGAAGTTAGCAGGCGAGGCAAAATGAAACGAGATGGGAGGCATACGTGCTTGCCCGGATCTTCAATATTCTGATTGTTCATACCAGGAGGTATAAGCCATGTAGGAAGGATTCCAGAGACGGTCCCTCCTTCGCTGAATTCGCCAGGAAGCAAGCCATCAAAGGCGCTCTTGACGAACTTGGGTCGCATGTTCTTTGGCAGAAAGTAAGATGAAGGAAACCGATACCATTCTTTTCCCAGGCAGACGTTGCCTTGCATGTCGGCGTATTCTGGGCTCTGCAATGGTTTGTATATTTCGAGAGGGGCGCTATACGCGCTCACGGTTCCCAAGGTCCTCAAAATTCCAACGGTGGCAATGGCAAGCACAAAACCGCTAACGAGGGCCAATTTCACCTTTGCTGAACATTTGCCAATAACGCTTTTTGGGCTCAGATGTCCCAAGTAATTGAGCACAGTGTGCAGGGCTAAGGCAGCGTTTAGGCAAAGAAAAGGATACGCGGGATACATGAATCTCTCCTCTTTGTGAGATTGGGCAGAGAAAATGGCAAGCCACATATAGAATGGAGTACTGATCATCATGCTTCTCAAGGTTGTCCATCTTGTCGAGGACAGACGAGTAAATAGAAGCTGCAGCCCAAGAAGCGGTCCGGCACACATACCAAGCAGAAACCATGCATTAAAATTCAAAAGTAGATTGCGGATATAGAAGTGCCAAGGTTCAGTTCCAAAGATATCGGGCCCGCGTGATGAGCCACTGAGGATGTTGTAGGATACAATGCGCCAAGGGACAAACACAAGCTTGCCGTAGAATAACAGATCGACAGCCAACTGAAGAGACTACACAGGTCAGCACGTGTTGCTGCCGACAGAGCTCGGAGGGGAGGAACCCACCACTATGGCCAAGGTCCTCAACACACCACCGAGGACCCTGGATGCTACCCCGTTTATATCGGAAGTCCGCTTTAGACATGCCAATTCGTCAGGAACGAACGGCAGAATGAGAGCTGCGGAGAATGGCCACCCGACAGTTGCTCCAATGCCAAACCACATGATTCCCTCGGTGGTTTTCAATCCATTTTTGACGTACATGAACGCTGCTGCGCCCATCATTGCGGTATACATCGCAAAACTTGAAGGCAGGTACGCCACTGATGCATGGAACATCCCAGAACTTGATACCATAGCGAGCAAGAAGATCACAGCAATCCTCGGATTCATTGTCCGTGAAATGGTAGAGAATAGGCGCGTCTCACAGCCTGCGCAGATCGATCCGAGCACCCCACGAACAAAGTAGAACTCGAAGACCTTCTTCGAAACGAAAACAGCCGCAACTTTGCTAGGTATTGCATGGATCAAGGCGTATAGCCAGCTTCGAATGGCATACTCGGGCGAGTACTCCCAAGTCTGTAGGCCGAACCCATGGACGATGTAGTGCGTTGGTTCCCAGTAATTGAACACTTCGTCACAGTCCTGTATAGGGGCGTATGTAGAGGCTAGCAGATTGACGGCTAGAAATACGCAGAAGGCGGCGCCTGAGGATAGATCGAAAGTGTGGCTCATTTCAGCATTTGACGAAGGCGAGGATCGCATCAATGTTTTGCCGTTTGGTATAGCCCCGATATTCTTCTTCTGACCGAAGACAGGTGCAACACCCTCCATGACGTCCACTGTCGTCCTTTATAGTAGGAAGGAGCAAATGAAGTACTTGGTCTGAGAATGAGAGCGAGCAGGGGTCCAGTCTAGCGCGCCAAGATATCTGCTTTCTTCCGTCCTTTTGCTATGTAAGTCGAAAGACAAAGTCCTGGCGCTTTCACGGTGTGCCGCTCCAACAGGACATCGAAGCCTTATATCATTGTTTATAATAATGACGTCTTCATAAATCGATGATATACTACGATTTCTTCTACCACTATGTTGTACGTGACCCAATATTGAGCTACCTCCGTACTTCTTCAGACAACATGTCTTCTATAAGCCTCCATACTCTTCTTCGATTGCTCAAACCCATTGAGAGATCCTCGAGAACAGCTCTTGGCTCATGTAGATCTACCGGAGCGAGTTGGCGAACGAGCAGCTCCTAGTTCCACTCCTGCTCAAGTGGATTGGACGCTTCTTTGTGTGCAACGGCATCTGGCTCGAGGTCCCATAGCCATGATAGATAACCCTGCGCGAGTGCTTCGCGCCAAGCCCTGGAGGGACTATGAGCCGTGCACTCTAGAGATAGAATCCTGATCCAGGGAAGCTCGGAGATCTCTGACGAAGAAGAATTGATTTCTGCCGCAGGTAGCGTTTGCAGTTGCGAGGGAATTAAATTTTCATGTCTGGAATATCTTCAGGGTCTGCTTGAAAGTGCTGAAAGCCGTCATTTATATCATTACTATCAAGTCAAAGCGCGCCTTGAGATCACTGCCAGGCTGCCACACCAGTTCCTGGAAACGCCAGATATCACCATAGGCCTGCGCGCTGTAGATGTTACAAATGGGCCCAAAAAATTTCTCGCTGGCTTTGCCGAGAAGACCTTTCAAAGCTTGCCATAGATGCTGCATCGAATCTTCTACGCTCCTGTGAGATGCAGCTTCTTGGGTAGCCATAGCTCTCTTAGCGAGGGACACACGTTTTGTGTGGCTTGGAATGTACAATGGCCTCGGCGATGGTACGACTGAGCCAGACTTATCGCATGCAGTGATAGCTTCTTCGTTCTCCAAGACCTCAACACGCGGGCCTCCTTTGTTCCTCGCCGGAAGCTCACGGATTTCGGTATTCGAGGACTCGGTGCTCGAGCGCAATAGCACTGTCCGTGAAAGCCAGCTGTGGTCAAGGTGATTCCAACTGTCAGCGAAGGCTTGGTGGATTGAAGGTAATCCAGTGGGTCATCTACATCAGGATCCTCGATTGGACCGCCACAGATGGCGCAGTAGATTGTATACTCGTTGATGAATGTCATAGCTGCAACGAATCTGTTGTGGACACAAATTCGTCTAATTTTCAGGGTTCGACCTCACTATGCTCTTTTCGATCTTGGAGACAAGCTTCAATTTGCTTGTCACTGAGTGATAGGAAACTTGTACAAGTGCAGAAAGGGTTTTATTCAGCCACGCAGTGCACCTTGCTTACAGTCCGTGCAGAAGCGCTGGGTGAATGCGGTGAGATTCCACGGCGGCAACGCAAAGGTTTTAAAGATTATGCATAATGGCACGAGGAACTTGCTGGTGTTCCTGATTTTGGAAAGTGGCCTTTAGGTAAGTTTACATTTCATAGAAGGGGAACAGGGTAGAGTAAACATACACTATTGAAACACAAGACATCCTCAGCTCATTTGCTGATGTGGCCCGGCCGAATGCAGAGGGAAGGGATGAGGCAAGTGGCAAGTGGCGAGTCCCGAATCAGCAGTATTTCTCCCACTCACTTTACAACCTCATGTAGGTTGGCTTCGAGTTCAGGGATTTGAAACTGTTAGGATGAAGAGGGAAATTCCGCGGTACTTGTATCTTGCAGTGCGCTTCGGCCTGTTGTACGTTATAAGACCATGGACCATGCTATCACGAGTGATGCCATATTCCATCATGTAAGCTCCTCCTTTGGTTGAGATTTGTTCTATGGATTGCGAATAACCTGCGTGCAACTGCTAGGTCTACTGTAGAGTTTGGAGGCGTACTTGTCATGCTGGTGAAATTAATATGGCTATTGTGGAAGAAGTTCCAACGTGGTCGAGCTGGAAGCAATGAGGACTGTACCTTGATTCTAGGTACCGATTCTGCCTTGACCTCCCAGTATAATGATACCAGTGCGGTAGAAAGGCTAATGTTGGAACGACTCAACACTCGCTACCACTAGTACTCATTCGGTCTAGTTATAGGTATATGAAGGCATTCTCTATATATAGATATCCTTCTTCCTTAGATATCATTAAGACTATTATATTTAATAATAAATCTCATTATAGTAGTAACTACGAGTAAAGGCCTATGAATTAAATTCATAACCATTTTTTTTTGATCGGGGCTGTCGAGTAAATTTTGGTGAGCGATCTTTGGTGAGCGATATCTGAATTCCTTACCTTTAAATATCTATAAGACTAAATTTAGTAATTCCTTTTTTATCTGAAAGCCCACATTATACTCTATAGTTTAAACAAAAAATTCTAAAATTTTAATAGAAAACAAAAAAGTTATTCTAAAATCAAATAATGTGTACCTGTTTTTTGATCAGGGCTGTCCGGCTGTCGAGCGAACTTTGGTGAGCGATATTTGAATTCCTTGCGCTTTAATAATTATAAGACTAAATTTAGAAATTATTTTTTTATCTGAAAGCCCATAATTCGTTCTACAATTTAAAAAAAAAATCTCAAAAAGTTAATAGAAAACAAAAAAGTTTTTCTATATGTTAATAATGTACACCTATTTTTTTGATGGTTGCGGACGCTAATTTGTTTACCCGCGGTGTCTAACCAAAAAGCGTAGACCTAACGAATTGATGATTGGCTGCACATACAAATTCAAGGTTTTCTAGTTCAGCCCTACCTTATTCTATTATATATACTAATATACCCAGATATTACTAATACTAATCAATATACTTCAATACTAATACACAGATTAGCAAGGCTATACTCTAAAAAAAGTCCGACTCGATATCGCCGCGGTATTTTACACGATTCTATATTACTTAATCGATTTCACTTATTATAACAATTCGATTAAATAGAACTATAATTTCTATAATTCCTACGACTTCTATCTAGTAGAGAAAACACCTAGAAAATACTTAGAAAATATTACTAAGCTTCACACTATATTAATATATAATATATATCTAAAATAGACTTCAAGGATAAGAAATCTAAATTCTCATCTTTAGTCGAATCGTCTAATATTATAACTCTATAATAACTAAAGAATATACTATTTAAAGAAGTTAATCTAATAAATACTAATAAGAGAATCGAATAATTCGTCTATTAAAGAATATAAGACTACAATAAAAATAAATAGAAGTTTCTCTCCGATATCTTTGCTAAGGAATTTCGACAATTCGCTAAAGAGGACTTTAAGATTCTTTTCAAAGATCAGCAATATAGCTTACGAAACTACCTATAAAACAATGAAGTCTATATTAAGAAAGAACGAGGGGTTTTAATAGCCGAATCATTGGCGAATATAGTTTAAGAAGAAACCCCATAGCCACTGGATGACGAGAATCGTCCTTTATTAAAGTATTAATAATATTACCCTTCTCAACAACAGTTAATTCAGCCGCAGTAGCTTTATCAGCCTTATCGATCGGAGAACACTATTTCTCTTCCCCCACAACCATCTTATCAACTAGAGAATACTACTTCAATTCTCTTTTCAACCCCGAACTATGGCCTAAATTACCGAGTCCCACACCTACTACCCTCGCCTTATTAAGTTATTTAAGACTTCGAGAATAAATAAAACTATAACTATATTAAGAAACTCGCTATATTAGCTAAATTATATATTAGCGAGAAGAAGTATAGTAAAAGCCTTACCGAGAGTCTCAGCTATAAATTTATAATTTTCATAGATCTTTAAAAGAGAGCCAAGATCTCTTAGTAGATTTTTCAAATAGTATTCTTAACTATACTAAAATCAATGATATTAAAATACTACTACTTTGATTATTAAGGGATTAATTTCATTATTTATTAACTCTTCGATTAATTTTAAGATTATTTCGAGGGAGAAGAATATCGTCGTTTTATACTTTGTGAGTGAAATAGTATTAGTCTAAGAGGCTTATTTCGAGCTAGTTCCGAAAAGAATAAAGAAACTATTTTTAATAAGATAATTCTATAACTTCGTTAAGTTTAAAGAGGATTAAACTACGAATTTCAATTAGATATAGCGCTCTAAAATAAGATAATTATCTTTTATAGTAATATTCTTATCTATAGTATTATAATCTTATAATAGATAACTATAATTGCGAGGTTAATTAATAATATCTATACTATAATTAAGAATTACGAAGAAGTTATAAAGACTAAGAGATTCGAGTCACTTAGGCCTGTAATATACTTTATTAATTAAAAATATTATATTAATTAGTCTTTAAATTAGTTTTATAATTAGAGTAATTATAGTAGATTATCTTCGTAAATAAACGACTTTTAAAAAAAAGTAATATTTTATTTATAGAAAGATAGGCTACTAGTTAATTAAGTATATCGATAAGAAACGCTAGAAGTCTCGAAATAAATTCGCTAAGCGGTTTATCGACTTTATTAATAAGCGATATAACTTCTATATTTAAGAGTTTAAAGGCTAGAAGAATGAGATCGAGGATTTTAAGATTTTAACTTTCGATATTTAAAAAACCGACTTAAAAGAGATCGAAAACTTTATTATAATTATTTTTATAATTATATTAAATTAAGCGTAAGCACGCTATTTAAAGCTTTCTAATTATTTTATATATTATAATATTATTAAATCTAGTAGCTTTCTTAATATTAGCTAATATATCTTAAAATAGTTCTATAATATTATATTAGATATCGAAGTCGCATATATATCTACTACTGAATATAATTAAGTAAAAGTCTATATAAGGGAATTTGATATATAATTAAATATTAATGTTAATAGTATTATCGTCTAATTTGAAATTAAGATAATAGCATTAATTAGAAAACT